CATTGCTTGGGGGTGAGTTACCCCGAGGATCACGCTCTCGAGACAACGTCGAAGCAAACGCGGGTTTCGAACCCACCTCGACCTCGAGCCTCTGCAGGACCGATGACTTACGGAATTCCTTGACAAGAGCAGGGGAGGAGAAGAGAAAAGAAAAAGGAGAGGAGGAGGAGGAGGAGGAGGAGGAGGAGGAGGAGGAGGGGGAGGAGGAGGGCGCCCGCCCCCGCATAACACGCGGGACGACGCCGCAGAAAGCAGGCCCCAGCAGTGCGCGCCGCCGCCGCCAGAGGCCAAAGAAGGGAAGGGCGGGGGAGCACCCGGCGCCCCCCCGTCGCAAAGGGGCCTCGCGAGGCCCAAGGAGACCCACAGGGAGGCCAAAGAAAGGAAGGGCGGGGGAGCACCGGGCTCCCCCGCCGCAAAAGGGGGCCTCGCGAGGCCTCGCCATCGCTCGGACGTCCATTCCCTGTGCTTTTCGTCGGTTTCGTGCGCGGCGTTCTCGCCAGATGATCAAGGACGCTCCTCGATGGTCCTCGCCGAGGAGAAAACGCACACGTCCGAGCGATGCCGAGAGGCACAGGGAGGCCCCGCATGGCAACACGCACGTCGATGCCCTGCCGAGAGGCGGGGGGAGCGGGGGGGCCCCCGCCTCGCACGGCCACGGGCCGCGGAGACCGGCGAGCAGATATCGCAAGGATCGTCAGGAGGAGGAGGGCGAGGGGGAGGACATCTCGAGGAGGGCGAGGAGGGCGAGGAGGAGGAGGAGGAGGGCGAGGAGGAGGAGGAGGGCGAGGAGGAGGAGGAGGAGGGCGAGGAGGAGGAGGAGGGCGAGGAGGGCGAGGAAGAGGACAGCTCGAGACCTCTGGCGGCGGTGGGCCCAGCACGGGAGGGGCGCGCCCGCCGAGCCCCCACCCCCCCGCCAGAGAATTGTGCAGGGACCGACCGTCCCAGCATTCCTTCCTATAGTCCTACCACGGAGTGCTCTTAGAACCCGAGCATGTTCTAATTACTCCGACGGAAAAACCCCACATAAGAATCCTCTGGGCGAATCTGGAAAAAGCCATCACCGTCGTCCTCGTGGTTGGTGAGGCGTCCTGGCTGTCTCTTCTGCGTATATTTCCTCTCGCCTTGGCGCGGCCCCCCCTTCCACTCCTTACGTTGTCCCCATCCTCGCCCCCCTGTTTGTTCCGCGCCCCGCCACCTCCTCCCCTTCCTGTTGCATGAGCGCGCATGTCGATGTTCCTCGGCGCCGTCGCCGCCACGGCCAGCACAGGCGCGTTCTCTACTGTCACGTCGCGCAGCCGTTGGGACAACCCCGCGGGCCAGGCTGTCGGGGCAACCCCGCGAGCCGTTGGCGCGCAAGACCAAGCCGTTGGGACAACCCCGCGGGCTTCGAGCGAGGCGCAGCCGCGCTCAGGCGGAAGGCAGCACGAAGCCCAGCTCTGCCGCGAGCTGCTTCGCCTCCGCCCTGGACAAAACCGCTCTCTTGTCGAACTCCAGGAGCGCCTTCCGCAGGGACGCGGCGGCCCGCACTCCAGGAACTCTCGCGGCGGCGGCCGCAGGATCAGCATGTTCCGCATGCACGTGGCGCGGGAGAACATGACGTAGAGGTGCAGCCACCACTGCTCGTCCGACATGCCCGTGCGGCCAGCGTCCTCGTCTCTCGCGCAGTCGATGGTGTCGCCCTTGCGCAGCGTCTGGCCCTGCGACAGCGTGGAGGTCAGGTAGGACGCGTGCGTCAGGGTGAACCCCGAGCGGCGCACGCTGTGCGCCCCCGAGCTCTGCCATGTGAATTCCCTTTCGCTGGGCCTGAACATCAGCAAGCTCCGCGCCCGCGCCTCGATCTCCCGCCTGAGACTTCCTCGCAGTTCACTCACAGACGAGGCTCCCGCCTGAGACTTCCTCCATATTCAAGCTTGAGGAGCCCAAAAGTGACGACAGTTACAGGATTCCGATGACCCGCTCGGATTACCAACATGATCTGCGGGCCCCATAGGGAGGAGCTCCCGCCTGAGCTTCCTCACAATTCACGATCGCATCGCGGGGGAGCTCCCGACTGAGACGTCCTCCAAATTCAGGCTTGAGGAGCCCAAAAGTGACGACAGTTACAGGGTTCCGATGACCCGCTCGGATTACCAACATGATCTGCGGGCCCCATCGGGAGGGAGCTCCCGCCTGAGACTTCCTCCCAATTCACTCACAGACGAGGTTCCCGCCTGAGACTTCCTCCAAATTCAGGCTTGAGGAGCCCAAAAGTGACGACAGTTACAGGATCCCGATGACCCGCTCGGATTACCAACATGATCTGCGGGCCCCATAGGGAGGGAACTCCCGCCTGAGACTTCCTCACAATTCACTCAGAGACGAGGCTCCCGCCTGAGATGTCCTCCAAATTCAGGCTTGACGAGCCCAAAAGTGACGACAAGTACAGGATCCCGATGACCCGCTCGGATTACCAACATGATTCTGCGGGCCCCATACAGGGAGGGAATCTGCCTCCCGCCTGAAGACTTCCTCGCAATTCCACTCACAGACGAGGCTCCCGCTGAACTTTCCTCCATTTCCATGCCTGTGGAGCTCAAAGTGCGACGTAACAGGATCCGATGACACCGCCTCGGATTAACCACATGAGCTGCGGGCCCCATAGAGAGGGAGCTCCCGCCTGAGACTTCCTCACAATTTACTCAACGATGATGAGGATGAGGATGATGAGTGGTGGTGAAGATGAGTGGTGAAGAGGATGATGATTGATTGTGAGTGGTGGTGGCGATGATGATTTTTGAATGAGGATGATGCCGATGCCGATGATGATGATGATGATGATGATGATGATGATGATGATGATGTTCGTGAGCGTGTGAGAGAGTGCGAGTGATGATGATGATGAGTATGTGAGTGACTACGCATGTGAGAGAGCATCATCGATGATGCTGATGAGGTTGATGATGAGAGAGTGTGAGTGAGTGTGAGTGGGTGTGTGTGTGTGTGTGTTCCTGTTCCTGCGCGGGGTGTCCAGAGAAAACAAGAACCCCACTTTGGGTGTGGGGAACAACAAAAGCGATGTTCTTGGAACAGAAGCCCGACGTGACAAAACAAGACAGTCCCAGCCAGCTGTGTTCTAAGAACATGTCGTGGGAACCTCAAAATTGAGGGATGAAAAAACGGCCCTACCCTGGATTACAAGTGCGTGGTCCGTAAACCTCCTGGGAACCCCCGAAGCCTAGCGAGCCGCCAGGACGCCGCACAGCACGCAGGCTTTACCCTGTCAGCCCACAGGAGTTTCAGCGCGCAGCGCCTCGTAAACCATGTCAGGGGCGTTTTTGAAGCCCTTGCCAAAAAGGTTCTTAGAACACTGTTTGGTAGCGCTATAGGCGAGCCAGGACGCCTCGCCGCTGCTTGCGAGAGAAGAGGGCGCCTCGGCCGCGGGCACGGCGGGAGGGCACCGGGGGCCTGCGCGAGGCTCGCGCAGGCCGTCTCCCCGAGGCAGACTCACGGCGCGCCCCAGCGCCGAGGCGGCGCGCAGCGCCGGGGCGAGGGCGCCGATGCCCGGCGCTCCCGGCGTCGCGGCGAGGCCCAGCGCCAGGGCGAGGCAGGAAGAGAAACGGAGGTGGCCGACGTCGAGGCGACTCGAGCAGCACGGCCCGACGTCGCCGAGGTCGGCGCGCTCCGCCCCCATGGGTGCCGCGCCAGTTGGCTCGAGGCTGCGCGGCGCATGCGCGCGGGGGGGGCCGCCGCGACCTCGTGGAGTGCGCGCACGACGCGGATCCAACGCCGCAGCTCGAGGGCCGAGCGGCACGTGCTCCGCCGCGGGAGGGCGCGGACCAAGTCGTCACAGGCGGTGCTCCACACGCGCGGGTGCCGAGCCCGCTGGGTCGATGCTAGACTTGAGTCGGGCCTGTCCCCCTACAGGACGATCTTCGACGAAAAATCAGGCGTAATGCCCCCAAAATCATCCAACCATAGTCCAAAAATAGTCCAGGGACTATTTTTTGAGTATGTTTGGACCTTTGTGGGGCATTTTTGGGATATCTTTTATTCTTCGTCGAAAATCCCCCTGTAGGGAGACACGCCCGACTGAATGCTAGACTGCGCAAACCGCGCGGGCAACTCCACCGCGCGGCCAGACTACCAGCCTCAGGCCTTCAGCTCGCCACCCCTTCGGAGCCAACCGTGGAGCCTGCCGCATGTCAGAGTCCACGGGGCCTGGAAATATCACCAACCTTAACAAGAGGGCCCACTCGCAGATCAACATCACTAACTTGGAAATATCACCAACCTTAACATTAACCAATATCACCAACCTTCAGATCTGCAAATCGCCGCGCGCACTGCGGCCGAGGGTCGACGGGCCTTCAGCAGGCGGACGTGTCCGAGGTTCTCGAAGTGCCTCGCGCTCTCAGCGATGCCACCACCGCCGCCTTCTCGACCGCAGCACACACCATTGAGACCGCGATGTGTCTGGCGGCCTGTGTCTATGTACTTGCGGCAGCCGGTGCAGAAAATCACAGGAGCCGTCGTCGACAGGGCACTCCAGCAGCGCGTGCTTCTGAACAGACCATACCATGGCCAAGGCAACTCGTCTGGTTCTCGCGCTGCTGCGCGGCGTCTACTGAGCCGTCGCCGGGCTGTGCGCAGGCGGCACCAGCAATGCGCAATCTTAAAGGCGATAGCCCTGCCTGTAGAGCCACGCCTCCAACTGGGCAGAGCACGCCAACAGCATGTTGCGTGGGCGACTCGCACATCGGACAGCCGCGGCATGGCAGAAACGCAGCGATGAGCACGGAGGGAGACGGGCGGGAAGAGGAAGGAGGGCGGAAGCGAGGAGAGCGGGGAGGGGGGGGGGCGAAGCCTGAAGCACGGAGGCACAAAAGCAAGCGCTGGTGCTGAAACTCCCGCGCGCCCAG